TGCTCTACTTCTTTAGAATATTTTTTGATTAATGCAAATATACACTGTATAGAAAGTAATAAGTGAGTAGAATTTACCTTTTGAAAGCCGTTCTTAATGTCCAACAGACACAGTATACTGTAAATACAGAAAATAGACATTTCAAACTTAGTATTTTACTGCTGCCATCTACTGGCGAGTTGGTGAAAGTTCACTTCATTGTACAGCATAGTAGATGCATGTCTGCTCATATTACAGTCTTTAGCCTTTGTGGATACTTACAGGTGTATTTAAAATGAAGGACTATTTCACAAATTATTCTGTACAAACCCCTTTTAAAAATAAAAAGTTTATTTCAGTGTAGGGGTGGCCTGCCATTATATTTGGTTTGTTTTCACGCAGTCAGAGGTTTTCAGACTTTTTGTATGCCACTGACCCCCAAAGTATGATGGTTACCGTGTGAAGGACTCCTTTCTTTAGATGTAAAGTCAGCTACATATTTTCATATAGTGAAAAACAAAAATGTTAGCCTATATATAAACTATTATATCTTATAAAATAAATATCTATAAAATATTGACACATGTATGTTGACACAACACGTTTCCTTAAGAGAAAACATAAACCTTGAAACTATATGGCTGTCAATAGAATATAATAATCTTTTAATTTTAGAAAGTAAATGGCCAAGTAAAATGTCATTAGGTAAATGTGTAGGTTATTTATTTTATTATAATTACTACTACTATTTTTTAGATTATAAGTGATAGAATAATTTTTTTAAAATTATGTATTACTTTTAGTGAAAAGTGTTTGTTTGTTTATTTATTTACCATTCAAAAGTTTAGTGTCACAGCTTTTGTTTTTTAAAACAAAACAAATGAATACTATTATTCATCAAGGATGCATTAAATTGATCAAAAGTGACAGTAAAGACATTTATAATGTTACAACTTTTCTATAATATTTTTATATAATAAATGTTGTTCTTTTGAACTTTGTTAATCAAAGAATCCTGAACAATATATTACAGTTTCCACAAAAATATTAAGCAGCACAATAATTTCCAAAGTTGATTATAATAAGACATATTTATTGAGTATCAAATCATCATATTAGAATGATTTCTGAAGGATCATGTGACATTCAAGTAATGGAGTACTTCAGTAATAGATGCTGAAAATTCAGCTTTGCCAACATAGGAATAAATTACATTTTAAAGTATATTCAAACTCCGTATTATTATTATAGTCATATCCAAACTGTTGAATGGTACCGTATTTTGAATTATGCATTACATTATGTAATGTTTTAGGGTTGAAAGAAATGTCTGGAAAATGTACTGGGAATTTTCCTTTTCCTACAGCTTTGTTTATTTTTTATTACAGTGTAGTGTACATGAAGATAACTTTGTTGTCATGGTAACCTGTGATCAGAACAGGCAAGGTGCAGAAACTTCCAGTAGCTTGATTGAATTAGACATTACTGTGTGTGTATAGTAATAATGTATTGTAAATCTGAATATTGAGTGAGCCTTTCCAGTGTGATTTGTTCAAATGGTGGTCAAAAGCTGATGACATGGATATTTGCTCAGTTGCTGAATGAGGCATCAGGTGAAGAGAAGCATGTAATGGGGGTGTTTTCATGTATGTGATGAATGAGATGTGGGTTGTGGCTTGTGTTTGCCTTTGTGCTGGAGAAGCAGACAGCTGCTTCTCGTTCTGCGTTCTGGTCTCTCTTTTTCTCTCTCATCAGCATGACCACCACAGACAAGACCAAACCTAACGAGACCACCAGCCTGGTTCGGCCGAGTGATAGCAGCAAACAGGTAAGTCTCGTTTTCAGCATCTTAGTATTTTGATGAAAAGCTAATTTAATTATGAACAACATTTTGATTCATAACCGTTTTATTAGAACATTTATACTAATTATGTGCTAATGGTTTATAGCACATATATATTTATTTTGTGCATTTCTGGATATATATTTTTTGTATACTGGATTATACAGAGGCCTCAAATTAAGACACATAAAAATGAACAAATTTCATTGCATTAGAAAATGAGATAATTCCAAATACTATATATATATATATATATATATATATATATAAAAATAAATAAATTCAATATAATTTATATATGTTACGGGGCTGACGAGACGTGAGACGTGCGGATCCATGTGCAAGCTTTATT